GCCTCAAGAAGGTCGTTTCCCCCAGGCTGAAGTGTTCTTGTACAGTTCCACCCAGCCAGCAGCTGTGCTCTCGTGTGTGAAGCCACACAAGTTACTGTCCACCATCACTGAGAGGATCTGGGGTTAACAGAGCTCAGTCAGACCAGTATGACCAGTGTTATGTTTTTATACAGACAGGTCTGGAAAACTACAGAGGTAAGTAAATGAATTACTTGAAGTTGGGTTCATTTAGCATGACTTTCAGACACTAGAAGTGACCAATTCATCTACAGCAAGTCCCCATAATAACAGTTCATGTGTCTGCTTTACCTCATGTCTTGTTCCCTCTATTATTTCAGTAGCTTCGCTGGTCTCCATGTCTTCAGTAGCAGTCTTGAAAGACAAAACAGGATGATTTCCTTTTTAGATTATTACAACAAAATCTTTTATTACCAAGATAAAAAACAATAAGATATTTTACAAAAGTCTTTCTCTTTCCCCCTGGATGCAAAGACACCCCCTTGTCTAAAGACAACTCCTCCAAATCCCATTACCGAGAACTACTTAACAGTTATGCAACGTGTTCACAAATAACTGCAAAAGAACATCTCCTCAGCAGGACTCGTCCAACAGGCAGATTTTTCTCCTATTGGAGAAGAACTATGGCAGCACCAAAGGGACTCAATAAATGAACTGTGTTGTTCTGCGTGCATGAGCACTGGCTCTTTGTCACGAAGTGGGAGAAAGCGAAACACGTAATTCATGGCTCTTGGCAGCCACAGCCAGTTAAAAACAACAGAGATTATTTTGGACAAAACAAGCCAAATAAAAATAGGAGAAAAGAGTAGATAAAAGCTGAGGGAAAGCTGAAGCAAGTTTGTGAGGACATAAAATCTGGTATGGTCAGAAGCTCTTGTCTCAGCCTTCTGCTGAACTACTGTCAAGTGTTCTCTGTGTTCTCATTTTCCTGCCTACATTGTGCACAGGAATGAAGGGTGTGAAGGAGGCTCCTGGTGCTCTCCTGAACAAGATTAACCCTACTCATCCCTAGGCTCCTGCAGGCAGGGGTAGCATTGCTAGATCCTGTCTTACCTTCTCCCAAAAGCCAAGATGAGGAACATGCACAGCTGTGGTTTTTACTGACCAAACACCGTGCCAGGTTCAGAAGGAGCAGGCTGTATGCCCCACTTCGTACCTCGATGATGTATTCCTGAGTGTCCGCCACCACTGAAGAAAACTCCACCAAAACAGTGTGAGGATCTTCAGAAATGACTGTTGCAGCCAAGTTGTCAGCTGACTGACTCTCCTCAGACACCATCACTTCTTCCACCTCTTTCAAAGCCAGGAGGCAGCCACCTGAATGGTGTTCCCAAAATGCCAGAAAACCATTATTTTTCATAACCATCTCAAATACAGGAATACCTGGAAAATACTATTTATTTTATGTATATATAATATATAAATATAT